TAAACTTTTTTTTTACTTTCAAATGACTAAGAGCCAATGTAAAAGATGTACCCGGAATTATTCGCCTTGTGATGAAATTATTTCCAACACTTACAGATAAACAACGAGGGCTCAGCCTCAACAAATATTTTTGTCGTGTGTCAGAAAGGTGGAAAATACAAAAAAAAATTGTATTGTGCTAGAAATTTAAATTTCTGATTTGCTTTTCAATTACTTAAAGGTTTTAGCGTAACGGTGCAGAGCTGTGCAGTAGAGCGAGAGCCGCAAGCAGCTCACGACCCACTAATGACTCTTTGTCGCGTTCCTGCCGAAAGCGACGCGCGCGAACGCACGCACGCACATACACACACCACAAACGCGCGCGTACGCGCGGGCGGAGAGTGCACGCGTCAATGTTTGCTGTCCAACCCGCACGCACGCACGCACTACGCCAGCTCAGCCATTGTGTGTGGAGTCGGGGCGCGACCTCCAGTGTTTAACTGCTTACTCTTTCTCTCAGTCTGTCTCTCTCGCTCTCTAGCTCCATTCCACTCCCTTCTAACCTGCTATCTCTTTCCTCACTCGTTTCCCGCCTCTCTCTCTCTCCCCTCTCTCCCGTCTTTTCTCTTTCAAAACACGTACTGCTGCCGCGACTACAATAACAACCCGCAATGATAATATGCCATTGTCGGAGGTGTCGGCTGGACTTCCTCTTTATATTTATATTTTGTATCTTTTTTTTTGGTCCTCTTGTTAATTTATTTTATGCACAAACCCTGGCCGCCCTGCAGGGTGATTGTTCCGCTGATGGCCGTGCTCACTGTGTTTTTTCTTTCTTGTGCGCAGGTTGGTGCCGGAGCCCATGGCTGGAAACCGTGGTCGGAGCCTATGGCGATAGCCGGCAGCTGGACCGGACCCACATCCGCAGAGCGTTCCATCAACTGATACAGCGCGGCTGTTTGTGCGCCGCCCGTTGTGTTTGAGCCCCAATTTGACGCCGTGTCTTTGTGAGCGCGACAAAGCCGCACGTTATTTGCTTGTAATTACGCCGATCAGCGGTGCTCTGCCAGAGCAAATATTTTGGCAAGCGTGCCGCTGTACGACGTTTTTGATGGCCGCAGTGGGTTCTGTCCTCCGGTCTTCCGGGAGTGGGGGTGACGTGAAAGGAAAGGAGCGAGGACAGGCGGAAAATCACACTGGAAAACACGAGTTGAACGAATACTTGTCTAGCTGTGATTTTAGAATGGTGGCTTACTGACTAAAACTGTATCGTAATATTTTATGGCGAGTAGTGATGTGCTGTTAATTTTCTACACACAAACTAGTAAGGTCGAGTTGACGAATGCATTCGTGAAACTAATCTGGTGTTCAATTACATCTTCAAGAACTTTCGCTATCGGAAATCAGGAGAAACTTTCTGTTCAGTACTTAGAGAGGTGGACGATGCAAGTTGACTCAGCTATTACTCGTTGTACGGACTCTACGAATTTATTGGGTTTTAACTGGCAGGAACAATTCGTTTTCTTGATTGCCCCCCACCCCAAAAAATAACAATAATAAAAAAACGTTAACGCTAACGCTAACGTGAAAGCAGATGATTTCTGGCGATTGGCGTTGAGCTTTTACTCTCAACTCTGGGCGTGGCGTGGCGGGGCGTTGGCAGGGCG